CTCAAACTCCACACACACACACACACACACACACACACACACGTCTTAAGTCTTCCTGGATCAAAGTGTGTGTGTGTGTGTGTGTGTGTGTGTGTGTTAGGATATGCCTGTAATACCAGGTCCTGAGCTCAAACTCCATTACCCCCCCCACACACACACATCTAAAGTCTTCCTGGATCAGTGTGTGTGTGGTGGGGGGGGGGCGTAATATGGCTATAATCCCAGATAGGAGGAGCTCGGTGCAAGGCCGGCTCCAGGTAAAAGAGTTTCTATCTAAAAAATGATGGCAAAAACGGCTGGGGCTGAGCTGGGAAGGTGGCTCAGTGGTAGAGTGCTTGCCTCGCATGCCCTGGGTTCGATTCCTCAGCATCACATAAGCAGAAAAAGCCAGAATTGGTGCTGTGGTTCAAGTGACAGAGCACTAGCCTTGAGCTGAAGAGCTGAGGGACAGTGCCCAGGCCCAGAGTTCAGGCCCCACGACTGACAAAAAAACAAACAAAAAATTGGCTGGGGCTGATTTAAGTGGTACAGTGTTTACATAACAAGTGCAACCCCCAGGAACGCTAAACAAACAAACCACAGAAAGACTGTATTTCCACAGGATCTTAATATCTAAAGCTATGTATTTGCATAGCTGTAGTCACAGAGTATAGGAATATTTAGCATCAAACATAAGATGAAGAAGAAACACAGTAAAGACACGAAGGCTTGTGACAGAGAACTGCTAACTCCACCCTTAGGTGCGTGTGAGGCTGCTCTGACCCGTGAGTGAGAACCTGTGGGTGTGCTGCTAACTCGTAGCAGGAAAGTCTGCTGCACCAGACAGGTGGGACGGCAGAGCCACTGCTCCTCCGCTCTAGGCTGCGGGGATGTGGCTCCTATGCCAGCAGAAGCAGCTTTCGGCAGAGGAGACTTGGGCTTCATCTGGCCCTGTTACCTTGGCAGGGGTTCTGGGTACGTCACGTCTAGTGCTGCAGATTTAATGACCTCATTCTTCAGGGCTTCTACCAGGTCATCGTGGTCAACTACCAGACCTGAATTGAAACACAACCCTGTTACCAAAACAAATGAAAGAACTTCTGGTCACAGTAGCTATAGTTTCAAACACATCTTCATTTTCTTCCAGCAACATGTCTCAAGATACCCAAGGTCTTTGGGCCTGGGAAGGTGGCTCAGTGGTAGAGTGCTGCCTTGCATGCATGAGGCCCTGGGTTCGATTCCTCAGCACCACATAAGCAAAAAGAAAAAAGCCGGAAGTGGCGCTGTGACTCACGTGGTAGAGCGCTACCTTGAGCTGAAGAGCTGAGGGACAGCGCCCAGGCCCAGAGTTCAGGTCCACGACCGACAAAAAAAAAAAAAAAAGATATCCAAGGTCTGAATGTATGGCCTTTACAAGGCCTGATGTATAGACCTCACAAAACTAGGCCCAAGCTAAGCTAGTAAGAAAACTGAGCCCTCCATGAGCCTTTTCTACGAACTCTCAAGTAACCCCCAAGGTTGACTCAGAATGCAGGTGAGGAAACTAAAGCTCACAGGTTACAAAGCGCCCCATCATTTTCCTGGGTCTGCCCAGGGAAAAGGACCACTTTTCTCCTTTGTTTTCCCTGCAGGAAGTCTCCCAGCACCTGTGCCACCTAGGTGACTGGCACCCCTGGGGGCAGTTACCTCCCCTTTCCCTGGACCACCGGTCATCCCTCCAAGGAGGTTCCAACACGCTGAGGTCACCTCCGCCTCCGCTCAGGCAGGCCTCGTCCCTGCCCGTCAACCCTAACCCTCCAGGTGTCCACCCTTTTCCTGCATACCTTCCACTTTGGGGCAGGCCAGCACATTGCTCTCTCCCTAATAAACTCTTCTGCCAAACCTTGCAGGTCAGAGCTCTTGCCCGACCTTGCCCTGCGCCCTGCGCCCTCCCAAACCCCACCCCAGGGTTTGAGTGAGGAGACCGAGGTTCCCAGTAATTTCACACTTGCACTCATAAACCCAACAAGAGCTAGTAGCTCAGACCTATAATCCTACTAGTTACTCAGGAGGTTGATATCTGAGGATTGCAGTTTGAAGTCAGCTCAGCAGGACAGTCCATAAGACCTTATCTCCAGTTAGCCACCAAAAAGCCAGAAATAGAACTGTGGCTCAAGTGATTAGAGCACTAGCCTTTAGCACAAAAGCTCAGGGACAGTGGCCAGATTCTGAGTTGAAGCTCCAGGACTGGCACAAAACAAGAACAAACAAAAACTAAATAAGAGCTGGAGATATGTCTTAGTGGTACAGTATGTGGATTGCATATAGGAAGCCCTGAATTCAGATTTTTTTTTTTTTTTTGTCGGTCGTGGGGCTCGAACTCTGGGCCTTGGCGTTGTCCCTCAGCTCTTCAGCTCAAGGCGAGCACTCTACCACTTGAGCCACAGCGCCACTTCCGGTTTTCTGGTGGTTTATTGGAGATAGGAGTCTCACGGTCTTTCCTGCCCAGGCTGGCTTTGAACTGCAATCCTCAGATCTCAGCCTCCTGAGTAGCTAGGATTACAGGCGTGAGCCACCAGCGCCCGGCCAATTCAGATTTCTTGCTTAAACTAACAACTCTAAACAACGCATGCATAACTTCTAATAAAATAGCATGATGAAAATATAAAAAATGTATTAAAAATAAAATATTAACTACATTACCCCACTTTCAGAACTGTCCTGAGGATTAAAATGATCCTAACACAGGTACAGTGCTTGGCATGGTACCTGGACATTATGCAGCAGGCCCTAGAAAATCAGCTCCTATCACCGTGGTCACAGACTTCTTCCTGGGGAAACTTAAGTAATATTTTCCTAATTGCTGTTAATATCTGTGAAAATTTGTCTTTACTGAAAAAAAGAAGAATAAAACCTGTTTTTTGTAAGAAATAGTAAACGTAATGTTGAAGTTGTTGGGTAATGAAAACAAAACAAACAAACAAACAGAACCCAGCATGATGGAGGAGCAGCAGAGACTGAGATTTAGCAAGGAGCCCACAGGCATGCCTGCAAGCTGCCCGGGCCACTGCTCCCAGGTGAGGACCAGTGTCCCTTCGCTTGCCCAACAAGGCAGTTAGAAAGCGGTGGCCAGATGCTGATCTTTTATTGTTTTTGTTTTCTTAGTACCATGCTTACTCAACCTCAACGTTTCAGAAAGCAAATAATGTGTGTTATTACACTGAGGTACAGATTTTTATACAACTCTCAAAAGATTAGCCTGGCTCAGGAGGGGTTATTTTACACAAATGGGAGAACTCAGCTGAGAAGCACACAGGTTGGCAGCAGTGACAGAGCTCACACCATGTCCTCTGGCTGCCTGGGTATCCGTCTTTGGCTTCTGTCTTCTCGTGCACCACCACACTGGCTCAAGAGGCATTTATCTCCCTTTATAAATGCCACAGCCTTCCCACCGTAATATCTGTTTACAGTACAGGGTCTCCTATTTACACATAACCAAAGTAACACTGAATTTTCTTTGAAAATGACCACTCAGAAAATTCATTCCCATAAACTTAATTACCCCAAAGATCAAACTGACACATCTTACCTGAACAGATAAAACTGCCCATAAGTAACTTGAGGCTCAAGGTAATATAAAGACTAAAATCAGAGCTATTTCTAAATAGAATGTAAAATTTCCTTCCTTCACTGTTACCAATCTAAGTAGATTTAAAAAAAAAAAGTTGTGGCGGCCATGTAGGTTAAAAAAAAAAAAAAAGGTCAAGAAATGCCAAAGGGCTGGGAAGGTGGCTAAGTGGTAGAGCGCTTGCCTTGCATGCAGGAGGCCCTGGGTTTGATTCCTCAGCACACATAAGCATAAAAACCTGGAAGTGGCACTGTGGCTCAAGTGGTAGAGCACTAGCCTTGAGCTGAAGAGCTGAGGGACAGCGCCCAGGCCCAGAGTTCAGGCCCCAGGACTGACAAAAAGAAAACAGAAAAAGAAAAAGAAATGCCAAAGGCAGAGCTGTATATTCCTCTGGCCTTGTTTCCCAGCCATGCTGTCTTCAGACAGAATGGTGCTGTACCTCTGCCAGTTTTTTTGTTGTTGTTGTTGGTGGTGGTGGTTGTGGGGCTTGAACTCAGGACCTGGGCACTGTCCCTGAACCTCTTTTGGTTAGGTTAGTGCTCTACCACTTGAGCCAGAGCGCCCCTTCCAGTTTTTGAGTGTTTAACTGAAGATGAGTCTCATGGGGACTTTTCTGCCCAAGTTGGCTTTGAACTGCAATCCTCAGATCTCAGCCTCCCAAGTAGCTAGGATCACAGGCATACTGGTGCTCAGTGTACCTCTGCCAATGTTGATGAGCACGGCGCTTGGCTTCATCAGCAGCAGCTCCCGTCTCCCAATCAGTCCCTGGGTCTGGGGCGTCAGGCTCAAGACTAACATCACAAAGTCAGATTGCCGCAGCAGGTCATCCAGCCTCTCACAGTAAGTAGCCCCAACCGCTTCTTCTTCCTCCACCTTCCTATGAGGAAAAGCATGTTCTTCAGGATCAAAGTACATTACATGCATATTTGAAAATATAACAATGAAAATTCTTTGTATAATAAATTTACACTAAAAGCCTAACACTGGAGGCTCACCCCTGTAATTCTAGCTACTCAGGAGGCTGAGAGCTGAGGATCATAGTTTGAAGTCAGCCCAGGCAGGAATGCCTGTGAGACTCTAATCTTCAATTAAGTACCCCGCAAAAAGCCAGAAGTGTAGCTGACACTCAAGAGCACTAGCCTTGAACACAAAAAAGCTTAAGGATAGCCCTGAGTTTAAGCCATAGGACCAGCACACACAAAACGAATTTATTCATGCTAAGAAAGATAGTTAAAAAAAAAGAAAGAAAAAGAAAATCACATCTTCATCATAAATTAATCTAGCCCTCACAGAAGGAGTCTGCTGGGGCCAGCGTCATTCCACACTGGGTAAGGCTCCCTAGCTGGGACAGAAGGCCTGGATCAGCATTGGGAATTCTCAAAACCATAGCTCAACTCCTGTCTTCCCAGCATCCGTAGGATCTCCAGACTGCAGCCCCTTGAGCACAGGAACTTCTATCTCTGGCCTTTGAGTCCTGTGCCTGGATGGTACCCCAGTGTGTAGTATAGCAAGATCTGCTTCAAGCAGATAAGGGGCTAAGCAATATCAGAGTCTAAGCAATAACAGCAAATAAACAGGGAAGTCCTTAGAGTTGGACAGAAAGCAGAATCAGAGTTGATGAAGGCAGGATTGTGGTTTTTGGTTTTGGTCAAATCCTAACTCATGCTCTGGTCACCCCCAAGACAAGCTGATAACAGAAATCCTAAGGCCCAGGGGTTCACAGCATACGTGGGCAGCCATTTCTCTTATAAGTATGAAACGCAAAATTATATGAAGTTTTTTTTGTGGGGCCTGAACTCTGGGCCTGGGCGCTGTCCCTTAGCTCTTCAGCTCAAGGCTAGTGCTCTACCACTTGAGCCACACGCCACTTCTGGTTTTCTGGTGGTTTGTTAGAGATAAGAGTCTCATAGACTTTCCTGCCCAGACTAGCTTTGAACTATGATCCTCTTATCTCAGCCTCCTTAGTAGCTAGGATTACAGGTGTAGGCCACCTGTGGCTGGCTGTTATTTTTTAAACTGTATTTTTTTTTGGGGGGTCTGGTCGTGGGGCCTGAACTCTGGGCCTGGGCGCTGTCCCTCAGCTCTTCAGCTCAAGGCTAGCGCTCTACCACTTGAGCCACAGCGCCACTTCCAGCTTTATTCTTTTTGCTTATGTGGTGCTGAGGAATCAAACCCAGGGCCTCAGGCATGCAAGGCAAGCGCTCTACCACTGAGCCACCTTCCCAGCCCTTAAAAGTATTGACTGCATAGAAAATAAACATAAGACATATTTCATCTTAAAAATATTAGGCCGGGTGGTGGTGGTTCATGCCTATAATCCTAGCTACTAAGAAGGTTGAGATCTGAGGATCATAGTTCAAAAGCAGCCTGGGCAGGAAAATCCATGAAATTCTTATCTCCAATTAGCCATCAGAAAACTGGAATTGGCACTGTGGCTCAAAGTGGTAGAGTACTAGCAAGGAGCAAAAACGCTCAAGGACAGCACCCAGGCCCTGAGTTCAAAACTTACAAACAACAAAAGGAGAAAAAAAATTGTCTTGACAGAAGTGGCGCTGTGGCTCAAGTGGTAGAGCACTAGCCTTGAGCTGAAGAGCTGAGGGACAGCGCCCAGGTCCAGAGTTCAGACTCCACGACTGGACCCAAAAAAATTAAAAAAAAAAAAAAAAGAAAGTCACTATGAAAACACGAAGAACTCACTGTGTAGGTGAGTTAAAGCCCATTTTATTTCTGTTGGAATTTACTACACAAGAAGTCAGACCATGATCTTGCCCATGTAATTGTAACCCCTCTATACAGTATTTTCAAAATAAAAAAAAAAAAGAAATCAGACCATGTTAAGTGAGGTAAGCCAAGTGCAGCAGACCAACAGCTCATGTTTTCTCTCATGTATGGAAGCAATATCTAAAATATGCCAGGCCATGATAAATTATACATGACTCTAGGCATTCACACACAGTGAGACCAAAGGGGACGTTCTTAGAGGAGGAACACAAAGGTGCAATGCCCTGTGCCTCTGATTACGTAAGATAATAGTTACTGAGATAAACTCCAGGAAATGGAAATGGAGGTTTTTTTTTTTTTGTTGTTGTTGTTTTGACTTGTTTGTTCACTTATCTGTCTTTGAGGGGGCAAGGGAGGGCACAGAAATGTGGTAATCACTAAAAACTACGTTGAAAATGAACCATACAGTTTGTGGGTGGGATGGGAGGGAAAAACTGGGAGAAAACAAGGGAAGGGGTGACATTGTCCAAAAAGATATTCACTCTTTGACTTATGTAACTGTAACCCCTCTGTACATCACCTTCATATTAACAGCAGAAATATTTTCCCAGGAAAAAAATTAAGTCAGACCACATTTCTGGGAAATTGTCAGAATGCCTAGACTAATTCTCTACAAGTTCTTCTTTTTTTTTCTGTCGGTTGTGGGGCCTGAACTCTGGGCCTGGGCGCTGTCCCTCAGCTCTTCAGCCCACGGCTAGCGCTCTACCACTTGAGCCACAGTGCCACTTCCGGTTTCCTGGTCGTTTACTGGAGATAAGAGTCTAGCAGACCTTCCTGCCTGGGCTGGCTTTGAACCCTGATCCTCAGATCAGACTCCTAAGTAGCTAGGATTACATGCATGGGCCACCGGCACACACTACAAGTTCTTAGAAAAGAATACAGTTTCATAGAAGCTGAGGACAAACACTGGCCATGTGGAAGAAACAGTGACCAAAGCCCTTGCTACATCAATCCAGATTCTTTCTGAGTCTTACCTGCGGTTCCTGTTGTGATACAGAATCTTCATTTCAAATGCTCTGGCCCTTTGAGCAATCTTATAGCCAATGGTGCCCATGCCAACTATCCCCAGAGTGGCACCAGACACTTCTTGCCCCATCCAGTTTACATAGAATTCTTCTGTGCATGGTGAAACAGCCAGCTGGTGCCCTGAAATATGCAACAGAATGAATTGGGGAAATAGCACCAAAGCAAGAGGACTTTGGACAGAGAGCCAGGCTAGAGTCCTGCAGAATCATGTACATTCTTGCTTTTCTCGGCTTTGGCTGAGAGGAATAAACAGGCGCTTCCTAAAAACAAAACCATACCCTTCTCAGAGGATGCTTTAAAACAGAAGGATTTCTGGTCTGGTGTTTGGGGTATATCTGCTGACCAGCCAGAAGTAAGAATAGTCTGGTTCTAGCGCCTTTTCTCAGACGCCATACCAGAGATACCTTTGGAAACACCTTTCAGAATGGTGGCTCCCAGAGGTCTAGTGGGGAATCCTCCTCTGTGTTTATTTATTCAGTTATTTTTTTGTTGGTTGTGGGGCTTGAATTCTGGGCCTGGGCGCTGTCCCTGAGCTCTTTAGGGCAAGGTAAGCACTCTACCACTTGAGCCACAGCACCATTTCCAGTTTTCTGGTGGTTATGTGGAGATACGAGTCTCATGGACTTTCCTGTTTGGGCTGGCTCTGAACCAGGATCCTCAGATCTCAGCTCCTGAGTAGCTAGGATGACAGGCATGAGCCACCGGCACCCGGCTCTCCACTGTGTTGACAGTGACCTCCCCTCATATTTGTGAGTGACATTTAGTGGCAAAACCTACTGCTATCAGAGACTACTTTGTATAGAATTTCCCCCGCATCCTGGACTTTTGCAGTGACAGAAGCTGCACACAAATGGGAATGACTCCAACTCCTGGTAAAACAAAGATCTGCATGCCCATATAAAGAAGTCAGGACCAGAAAAAGACATGCTATTCGATGAGATGTTTGTGTACTTTAAAATTACTTTAACATGTATATTATTAAATACTTGCCATCTGAATAGTGGAAAAACCCACAACAAGGCTTTTTACCTTCTACTACCCTGCGAGCTGAGGCCAGCAGCAGGGCCATCCCCAGGTCTGCTGTGGGGTTGGATACTGCCCTTGGGGTGTTGGCCACCTTCACACCACAGCCAGCGATGAGCGGCAGGTCCAGGTGATCCAAACCTACGCCAGCACTGGCAATAAGCTTCAGGGAAGGCAGGCTCAGGAGGAGCTCCCGGCTGATCACTGGACTTCCACCCCATATATATATAGCTTGGATCTTTTCCCTGAATTTGTTTTTGTTTTTCAAAAACTCTTTCATGGTAATGAGGGTGAAGTGCTTCTGCAGATCTCCAAGATGATCCTCACATATGCCACGTGGCCCCGCAAGCCCTGACACCAACACTCCAGGCAATGCCGGTTCTCCCGCAGCCTGCAGAGCACAGGATACAACATCCACAGTCAAACAGCAATCAGCGGGAATTCCACATGCATGCTTACTCTCAGAGTCCCTAGATCTAGATAAGCTCCTAAGAAACCTGAGAGGCGCAGGCAGCCAGACCCCAACACTGAGGTCTCACCATCTTCCCCTCCTGACACTTTACCCAAGTCTTTACTTCCACCCTTGATCTGACCTTGGAGATGAGCTCCAAGGTCCCTCCTGGCAGTCACACCTGGTTGCATCACCAAGAAAGAGTGGCTGAACTCACTGACTCAAAGGGAGGGACTGCTTCTCACCCCTCAGCATCATCTTGGGTTTTTTTCGTTCCCTTGTTTGCTTTCCCTGTCTTTCTCTGTCTCTGTCCATCTCTATGGAGCAAGACTTTGAAGTGTACAGAGACTACCCTATGCAAGGCCTATGCAGAGGTCCACATGGTAAAATGGAAGCCATTCTGAGGCCAGCCAACAGCTGTGTGGGCCTGGAGATGGGAGCAACTCTAGCCAACATCTATGTGAATTGCAGTCTCAAGACCTTGAGTCATAACCACCTGGTGAGCCTCTCCTGAATTCCAGATCTCAAGAACTGTAATGAACCGAGTGTTGGTGGCTCACACCTGTCATCCTAGCTACTCAGGAGGCTGAGATCTGAGGATCATGGTTCAAAGCCAGTCCAGGCAGGAAGGGCTGTAAGAATCTTATCTTCAATAAACCACTAGAAAACTGGAAGTAGCACTGTGGCTCATGTGGTACAGCGCTCACCTTGAGCTGAAGAGCGCAGGGACTGTACTCAGGCCCAGAGTGCAAGCCCCACAATCCACAAAAAAAAAAACAACACAAACTGTGTGTCAACAAATATTTATTATTACCCAAACCATTAAGTTTTGAGATAATTTAGTATGCAACTGTAGAGGAGACAAAACTTCACCGCCATCTCCCATCTGAGCCAGAAATTAACTTTTTGTTGTTGTTGTTGTCAGTCAAGGGGCTTGAATTCTGGGCCTGGGCACTGTCCCTCAGCTTTTCAGCTCAAGGTGAGAACTCTACCACTTGAGCCACAGCACCACTTCCAGTTTTCTGGTGGTTAACTGGAGATACGAGTTTCTCAGACTTTCCTGCCCAGGCTGGCTTTGAACTATGATCTTCAGATCTCACCTCCTGAGGAGCTAGGATTACACGAGTGAGCCACTGAGCCCAACTAGGAATTAAGTCCAAGTTTTTCCCCAGCATGAAACATTCCCTAAAAAAGTAGGACCCCCCACATAGAGAATCAGTCACAAACCTACAAAGGTGAACAGTAGCTCATGGGTTGTGGTAAGACCAGAGTTGGGCCAGGGCAGTCAGTTCATAGTGTCCGACAGCAAAGAGTGTAATTCTCAATAGCTCACAATGTTGAATAGCTTACTTGTAAAGACAGAAAGAAGGAACAAGTATACGTGTTTCTATCTCAACAATCCTCTCAATCACTAATATCATTACTCAAATGAAAGATTGTGTTTGAACTGATCAAAGATATTCTGTCTCCCTAAGGGCTCTTTCCTTTTACCTGGGTGAAAGTGGAAGTTATGGAAATTGGTCTTCTGTTTGGCCAATGCAGATTTCAAAGCCTTCTCAAACTTTTCAAAGCTTTAACAAGAAAGACTTACCAAAGACAACAATGTAACAATACTTAACAAAAATGACAGGGCCAATCATATGATCATCTCAATAGATGCAGAAAAAGCTTTTTACAAAATCCAATATCCTTTTATGATAAAAAATCTGAAAAAGCTAGGAATAGAAGGAACATACTTCAACATAATAAATGCTATGTATGACAAACCTACAGTCAATATCATATAAATGAAAAATTAAAGCCATTTCCTCTAAAATAAGGTACAAGACAAAGATGTCTACTCTCTCCACTCCTTTTTTTTTGGGGGGGGGTCCGGTCGTGGGGCCTGAACTCTGGACCTGGGCACTGTCCCTCAGCTCTTCAGCTCAAGGCTAGCGCTCTACCACATGAGCCACAGCGCCACTTGGGGCTTTTTTCTTTTTGCTTATGTGGTGCTGAGGAATCAAAACCAGGGCCTCATGCATGCAAGGCAAGCGCTCTACCACTGAGCTACCTTCCCAGCTGCTCTCCACTCCTTTTTAAATAAATTAGAATTCCTAGACAGAGCAGTAAGGGAAGAGAAGACATAAAAAGGATCCAAATATGGAAAGAAGTAAAACTATCCCTATTTGCAGATGACATAACCCTGCATCTAAATCTTAGAAGGCCGGGCACTGGAGGTTCATGCCTGTAATCCTAGCTACTCAGGAGGCTGAGATCTGAGGATCATGGTTCAAAGCCAGCCTGGGCAAGAAAGTCCATGAGACTTATCTCCAAATAACCACCAGAAAACCAGAAATGGTGTTGTGGCTCAAGTGGCAGAGTGCTTGCCTTGAGCTGAAGAGCTCAGGGACAGCACCAGACCCAGGCCCAGAGTTCAAGCCCCACGACACACACACAAACACACACACACACACACACACACACACACACACACACACACACACACACAAATGTCTAAGTGAGATCCAGTCACAGAACAGACAAATAGTCCAGTGTTTGCCTGGGCTGGTTTTGAAACACAATGCTGAGTGGCTGGGATTCCTGGAGTAAACCACCTCTGCCCAGCCCTGAACCCTGAGCACAGAAACGTAGGGGGAGAGAGGTAGGCAAGGGCTGCACCCAAAAACTGGAAATAGTGCTGTGGCTCAAGTGGTAGAGCACTAGCCTTGAGCTGAAGAGCTGAGGGACAGCACCCAGGCCCAGAGTGCAAGCCCCATAACCCACAAAAAATAAATTAAAAAACATAAAGAATCCTAGAGGGGCTGAGAATGTGGCTTAGTGGTAGAGTGCTTGCTTAGCATGCATGAAGTCCTGGGTTCGATTCCTCAGTACTACATAAACAGAAAAAGCTCTGAGCTACTCAGGAGGCAGAGACCTGAGGATCATGGTTCAAACCTAGCCCAGGCAATAAAGTCCTATGAGACTCTTATCTCCAATTAACCGTCATAAAAATGTAAGTGGAGCCGTGGCTCAAAGTGGTAAAGTGCTAGCCTTGAGCAACAGAGCTTAGAGACAGCACCCAGGCCTCGAATTCAAGCTCCATGACCACCACCAACAACAACAAAAACACAACCAAAGTTTAGTTTGATCCAGTGGTATTATTCTTGGATATATATCCCGCATATTATAAGTAAAGAAACTTGCACATTCAAGTTCATTGCTACACTATTCACAATAGCCAAGTTATGGGAACAGCCTAGATGTCCTACAATGGATGAATAGATCAAGAAACAAATATATATATGTATATATATATATATATATAAAATACATAGAGACTTTTATTCATCTATCAGAAAGAATATTATATCATTTACAGGGAAATGGATGGACCTAGAAAAAATTAAGTTAGGTGAAGCAAGCCAGGCTCAGAGAGACAAACAGCATGTTTTCTCTCATATGTGGAAGTTAAATCTAAAGTAAAACATCCATGATGATATATTCAGGATTTTATGTGCATATACAGACAGACTGACTAAAGGATGGTATACTTAGGGGAGGAATTCAATGGTCGAACTCCTCTAAATAACTGAGAATCCTTTAACAGAATGACTGCCAGGAAGCTGAAACATGTTGGGGTGGGCAAGAAGGGGGGCACAGGAAGGAAGGAAGGGTGAGCAAATGCAGTCAGGATTCTATTCCATGAACATTATGCACAGAATGAACTACATCATTCCAGGACAGGGGTGGGAAGGGGAAAATGGGGAACCGTGTTGGATGGGGTAATGATCAAGATGCATTGTATTTATAACCTCTTATGGAATTGAAACTTCTTTGTACAACTACTGAATAAAATAAAAATTAAAAAAAAACTTTCAACAGGATGTTTCCAGGGGGGAGAGAAGGGGAAAGGGAGGAAGAAAGGTATGGGGGGGGCAGAAAGCGAGGGAGTGAGAATGGCTGGGAACCAGAGAGAGCATTCAGTAAGGTTTGCTTGAATTTCCTCCTGGTCACTTCATGAGAAACTTTTCTTTTTATATGTAGCCCAGGCAGGCCTGGGGGTGAAGGTCCTCCCACCTCTGCTTCCGTAGTGCTGGCATTATGGAATCTGCCACCATGTCCTTGTAGAGAGGACATTTTTACATACAAATTTCATCTGTTGTTTTTAAGGCCAGGAATTTTTTTTTTTTGCACCAGTTAGTTTGTGTGTATGGGTGAGTTTGTGTGTGTGTGTGTACACCTGCATGCACATGTATGGGTGTGCATGTGCATGCACCAATCATAGTGATTAAACTTAGGTTCTAAGTGCCATTCTTGAGCTTTTTTCTAGGCTCTTTTTTTTTCTTTTTTTCTTTGTCAGTTGTAGGGCTTGAACTCTGGGCCTCAGCTGTCCCTCAGCTCTTCAGCTCAAGGTTAGTGTTCTACCACTTGAGCTGCAACGCCACTTTTGGCTTTTTCTATTTATGTGGTGCTAAGGAATTGAACCCAGGGCCTCATGCAAGCAAGGCAAGCAGGTACCACTGAGCCACCTTCCCAACCCCAAGGCTAACTCTTTACCAGTCAAGCCACAGCTCCACTTCTGGCTTTTCAGTGGTTAACTGGAGATAAAAGTCTCACTGTCAAATCTCATCCTCCTGAGTAGCCACCAGTGCCAGCTTCCTTCTGCTTCTGATTACCCCCAGCACTGATTGAAGGGTGGGTGATGTGTGCACACCACGGTCACTGCCAGGCCAGGGACACCACGCCCATCACACTGTGAACGCCAGTATCTGTTTCCTGCAGCATGGTCACATGTCAATATCTACAGATTGTCCAAAGTTAAGAGAGTCAACCATGTTTTGGTGTCTCAGGCGGTTCAAAGCCAGAGAGAGAGACAGAGAGACAGAGAGAGAGAGAGACAGAGAGAGAGAGACAGAGAGAGGGTGAGAGAGTGAGTGTCAGGCCCAGAGGGGAGAAATAATACTATGTGAACACTGTCCCTGTGTCCAAACCACCCCACCTCTTGGTTATTCCCTCCACAGGCAACAGACTTTGACCTATTGCAACCACAGACTAGAAAAGGAGCTGAGAGCAGACCAACAATGCCTGTGAAAAATGCCCCCAAAGCACCATCCATGGAGGGCCAGCTCTGACCTGGGGGCTGCTACCACCGTCCCCTGGACTCAGCCTTGAGTCCCCTTCCTTCACAACACCTGACACCTCCTAGTATCTCATTTCCTTCTCTTCCCTAATCTTTGCATAATGAGACCAAGAGGACAAGTATCCTGCTCTGGGCAGTGCGAACACTACTGAAAGGAAAGGAAACTCAATTGACCTCTTGCATTTCGTAAGATACAAAATGATAAAGCACCCATTTGAAACAATAAAAATTTTGAAAAAATTAGAGCTGGGAAGGTGGCTCAGTGGTAGAGCACTTGCCTTGCATGCCTGAGGCCCTGGGTTCGATTCCTCAGCACCCCATAAGCAAAAAGAAAAAAGCTGCAAGTGGCGCTGTGGTTCAAGTGGTAGAGCACTAGCCTTGAGCTGAAGAGCTGAGGGACAGTGCCCAGGCCCAGAGTTCAGGCCCCAGGACTGGACCTCCCCCCGCCCCCGCAAATTTTTTTTTTTTTAAATTAGAATTTCTACAGCTTTGGCTTTGCCTCGCATAAATAGTTCAGGCTTAACATTTTTTGACTGCTATATGCACTATCCTCATGCTATTTAACTTGATTGTTCAAATAGTTAAAAATGAGGGTTTTTTCCCTTGTATTACTTATTTCGTTTATTTTTAAAACACACTTACCTTTTCTGACATTGCATTAAATGGACTCAAGACTCTAAATTCAGGATTTTCTTCTTTTAAAGCACCTTGAAAATTGAATACAGAAAGAAAAAATGAATTCCAACAGTTTCTTTCAAAGGAAAGTCAAGTAAGTGTTCTGGCAGTTGATTGCTGGCCAGGGAGAGGTGGAATCTATAGACCTTTCAGCCCAGGGCATGGCAGTGTCCTCATATTTAGGGCCAGAAGCACTAGCATCAAGTACAAAGAACTGACTGAACTCCAACAGAGGAGCAGAAAGAATTTTTTTTTTTAAGTCAGTCATGGGACCTGAACTCAGGGCCTGGGCGCTGTCCCTCAGCTCTTCAGCTCAAGGCTAGTGCTCTACCACTTGAGCCACAGCACCACTTCTCACTTTTTCTGCTTTTGTGGTGGTGAGGAATCGAACCCAGGGCCTCTTGTATGCAAGGAAGCACTCTATCACTAAGCCACCTTCCCAGCCCCTGTAAAGACTATTTTTTTTGGGGGGGGTTCAGTCATGGGGCCTGAACTCTGGGCCTGGGCGCTGTCCCT